TCCTCGTCTAAACTCGTCTTTCATTTTCCATCTGTCCCTCCATGCAGAACTCTGACCATCATGTCTACATTGTTGTAGAATGTGTGTGTGTGTATTTCTGCCTTAATTAAAACTCTGGACATGTTCCCCATGTGTCTCTTTTATTGTTTCTGTTTCTTTACGTGTCTGTTGTGGGCCGACAGCTTGAATCTAAACTAAATTTTATTATTTTAGTATTTTTGTTTTGAAGTGCAGATGTTTGCATCAAACATTTAGATTGTTTGTGAAAAAAAAAATCCAACTTTTTTAATGTGAGTTTGTTTAGCTGCAGTTTAAATATGCTTCCTGGATTTCTTTGCATACACACAATTATAAGATGGGCAAGCTAATTGTGTTTCTATACAAATAATTTGATACATTAAATAAAAATACCAACGTTAATGCCTATTTTTTTCCAAAAAATATCAACTGATCTTCGGTTTGGACTAAGTTTTTAATATTTGGCGTCCTTGTGTAACTGAGTTTGACATTCAAAACAGAGCTGACCAAACCCTCAGAGCTGTATATGAAGATACTCAAAGTGTGAATCAGAACAAATACAACCCACTGAAGTCCCACCCAACACCCTGCAGGGCTGAAAAATTCTTAAACATCAAATCACAGGCCACCCTAAAGGTTTTATATTTAATCAGAATCAGAATAAGCTTTATTATCATTGTATCAAAATACAGCGAGATTATATTCTGTACAGTCGTCTGAAAGATGGGCGGAGTGTACGTGGCTGCAGCTCGTAGGAGCGCGACCTCTTATTCTTTAGATAGAAAAGGGGAAAGACCATGAGGATAGTGGTATTAAAAAAAAGCTTGCTTCACACCTTGTCCATGGACAAGGACACAATTTAAGCCGTAAAAAAAATCTACCAGCAAGCACATTTATAGACACATTACATATGTATTTGATGACAAGACGGTGAGATTTGTCCATGAAGCACTTCCAGATAGAACCATAGTCCTGATAAGATGTTAAAGTGTCAGCCGGTTGTAGTGAAAGTGGGGGACAGCTTAACTATCGCTTCACTACTAATGAATTATTCTTAAAGCTAGTCCAAGCACAAAGATAATTAATTATTTAAATACAACGGATTCTTTTTTTTTCGAGTTAAATTAATGCCATGTGACGAGATAACTGTGAGGATTGTTTAATCAGAGACATGAGACACCATTTTCCATCAGAAAATGGCGTCCCATCAGAATAAATGCGGTCATTTATTTAACAGAATCAAAATTTAACATCAAAACATGTACACATTGATTTGCTGATCTGGTTCTGATTAATAAAAACTTGGCACGCTTTGCTAACAAGACAACAGAACATTTCTGAAGGCATCTAGATTACTGGCAAAATAAAAGTTTAAAGGAAGGAATGGATAAGTTTAAAGGAAGATGGATGAAGGAAAGATGTATATTTTGTTGACCAGAATTAGCACGCTTCTTTCAACACCAGCTCAAACCCCCGGTACACTCGGTGCGTGACGACTCGTTACCTTTGCAGACGATAAATCAACTCTGGTACAGAGGTCCATTTCAACGCTACCTTTCCAACGTCTCCGGTCAGGGTGGCTGGGCATCGCCAGAAGTTGTGACGATTTACTCCGTCCAACAGACAAGCTTCCTTCGAAGTTGTAGGCGTTACGCCCGGGTGAGTTCACAGCGAGGCGCTATGACTCCATCCATAGTCAGAGATTCCACTCAGAAGTGGAAGACTCAATGAAAGACGGAGTTAGACTCAGAAGACTCTAGGACAGGGGTGCCCAACCTTTTTTGAACCAAGAGCTACTTTTGAAGTCGGCAATTTGCCGAGAGCTACTCGTCCAGTCTCATTATCAACAAACATAATTTTTCATCAATCCCTACTCCTCACTTATTTAAAGTAAATAAAACAGAACGTGATGTGTCTATAGGAGACAACTTTTTATGCAAGCTGTATAAAATAAATGTGTCTCTACCTTAGTGGGACTTCTGACACTGAGAGGAGGAGGCCAGGGTCTCATAAGCTGGGCAGTATGAGGTGGTTGCGAGGCGCAGGCAGGTCTCCAGATGATCATCATTCATTGTGGATCTGTTTTTGGACTTGATGATTTTCATGTGTGAAAAAGCAGACTCACACAGGTAGGTAGATCCAAAAAGTGCTGTTAAGTTCAAAGCACATCTTCGGATGTTAGGATACTTTTCTTCTGACAGCAGACTCCAGAACTCTCCATCCACGCCAGGTGATGCTCTGGATTTGATCCCAATGTCATTTTGCAGAGTGCAACAAATCCACTGGTGTGACCAGTCATTGCTGGAGCGCCATCAGTTGTTATAGAAATTAGTTTAAAGAGGGGCAAGTTGCTTTTATTAACAAACTCCATAAACGCATTAAAAATATCTTCTCCTCTTGTGTGTCCCTTCAAAGGCAAGATGGTGAGCAGCTCCTCTTTGGCACTCATGTCTGCAAAGGCCATTCTGATAAAAACACACAGCTGGGCTACATCCACCATGTCTGTCGACTCATCAAACTGAAGAGAGAAACACTCACATTGTTCCACGTCCTTTTTTAGCTGCTCCTCCACATCCACAGCCATTCCCTCACATCGCCGTGTCACTGTTTGTCTGGACAACTGCATGTCTTTAATAGCAGCTACGATCTCACTTTTATTTTTAAAATCATGAAAAAGCGCATCTGCAGCCTCAATAAACGCTTCTTTCATAACTTGTCCATCGCTGAAAGACTTCTTATGTTGAGCCAGGATGCGGCTAACACGGTAGGAAGCTATCGTAGCAGCTTTACCTTTTGTGCTGGGCCGAGTGAAGACTGATTGCTGGGCTGCAAGCTTGTTTTTTAGCTCCCGCACTTTCTGAGTCCGTAAAGAACTTTTAAGAGGGAAATCTGTCTCAAACCGTTTGTGCATCGTCTTGAAATGCCGCTCCAAGTTACACTTTTTGGGTAAGGCAACGCTCGAATTACAGATGAGGCAAATGGACTTCGAATTAGAATAAACAAAAAAATACTCCTCCTCCCACTCTGTGTGAAAATAATAAGTTTTCGTTTGCTTGTTCGCTAGTTTTCCATCCATGTTTTCTGCGCACCGACATTACTCCACTACTGAGCCTAAAGTCTCGTGAGAGCTGTGTCACCGCACACAAAACTCGCGAGACTATGTCTGTGAGAATACAAGTCAAGGTTTCGCTTCGCGGGAGACTGGGAACCAGCTCGCGGGCGACCGGTCGCCCGCGAGCGACTGGTTGGGCATACCTGCTCTAGGAAGACTCCGGTCAAAGACTGAATAGTTCCAGGAAGTGTTGACTTTTAAAGAGTCCTCACTTCCGGTCACTTAGTACTTCCTGATTGGTTGAAACAACCAACAGGGGGTGGTTCTAGTGATGTCAGAGGGTTATTAAAAGTCAAGAGAGGATGCAGGAATGTTTAGGAACGTTTAGTACAGACAGAGAAATGTTATGGCGAAGTGAGACAAACGCAGATGCCAGTTGCTTCTTTTTACCGTCTGCTAGGTTTAAAAACAAGACAGTTTGTTCTAATAACTTGTTTCTGACTGTCTCTGACTTTCGACTGACATCCTTGACTTTTAACCGAGATCAAATCCACTCATTCAGACAGAAGATCAAGATGCACAATTACTTTGTAAATAGACATTTAACTTGATTTCTAAGTCTAATGAGGTTTAAAAATCATTAATACTGTTTCACAGTTGATTTAAATGAGTGGTTTACTTTCAACATTAGAAATTATATGAACTAAACACACTTTTGATTATCAAGATATTGTAAAATAGTAATGATAATATAAAAAGAAGAGTGTTCTTTCAATTGATTAATTCAGGATACAATTAACAGTCTCTTGATGAGCTAATTTGTATTTCTGGATTCAAATCAATGAAATAACAGTTCCTGTCCCATGAAGGTCTTCAGAGACAGATTGATGTCGGAGGTCTAGTTCACTACACGGTACAGCTCTGATAAGCAATCACAGACGTTCTCAGGGGGTGGTGGTGGGGTGGATAGAGCAGAGCCTTTTCAGTTTACACATCCCCAGGAGCAATTTGATAAGTTGGCCTATTCAAGGCTGAATGGGAAGACCAGATTCAGATAAGCCACAGTTGTTTTGGTGCAGACAGACTGTTTTTCTCTTCAGCCTTGAGTTCTGCTGGTACTCTCAGTGATTCAAAATGGCCAGATTTGTGGGCTTTCCACTGGTCTGTGCTTATTAGCCTTCTCCTACGTCAGTTCCAACATGCTGGCGAGTTCCAGAAGCCGCAAGTGAACTACGATTCTTATAAATCACTTCCATCTTACGGTTGAGCTCGTAAATCAGCTGAGTCTGAGAGCTCGAAGCATGGATTAATCCTTCACGTAAGGTCGGCAGCTTTGCCATGGCCCAAACTGCTGCCCCCTGTCTTCCTTAAAAGCCGATAACATAGGTATCTGACGGTGCCCAAAAGCAGAAACCCTGCTATCATAAATCCAGTGATGTAAAAATCTTCGACATCCTCCTGAGACAACACAAAAAGGCGCAACATTTTCCACTCTCCTCACGGATCCATGACGTACCCAGCCGCGTGCGTCTCAGCGGGGCATGAGGGCTCTCCAGCACCCTGTCACTTGGTTAAATGTTTTAAATCAATTTTGTTGAAAGTCCAGCAGATCAAATCCATAACGGTAATTTACAATTTGGAAAATGTGTAAATGGAAGCTCTGATACACAGGACAGAGAGCAAAAAAGCAGGAGGAAGGCAGGAGAGGGAAGAAAAGCATCCGTCTTGCTCGAGGGCGAGTGAGGAAAAATCGCAGGACACTCTAAAGGTTTTACATTTAAACAGTGATGGACCAAAGTTGTTTCCCGCAGCACAAGGAGGATGAAAACTTTATCACGATGGTGTTTTTAATGTACTGTCTAGTCTGTTTTTTAAAAACTCTTTCATAATGAAACCCACCAGTTATAGTGTTTTTTTTCTTGTCTTATAGCTAATCCTATTGACATCCTGAAGGTCCTGGATCTATCAGAGGACATGGAGGGTGTCTCACTTGAGGCAGGACTTTGCACAAGCAGGACAGGACGAGAGGAGACAGACCTCTCCTTTAAAATCAACAAGAAGATTCAGCTAAGCGCGCCCACCAAGCAACTCTTCCCAGGTAACTTCTGATAAACCTCTGCAAGGCTTGTTTGGCAGAGAGGAGACTGAAAGCATTTCCTTTATTGTGAACGTGTGCATTCCCTCCAGATTCACCATTCCCTGTGAATTTCTCACTGATGACCACAGTAAAAGCTGCAAAAGGATCTCAGGTTTTTCTCCTGTCCTTGTACGACACTCAGGTGGGCATGAAAACTGCAGCATCCCAGTGTTTGCACCACACTACTCAGGGCTGTCGCAATGCCACAATCCTGTTTAGTTAAACTGAAAATCGTGAATTATTGTCAACAGAAATGTCTGTTCTAAAATTTCACGACACCTGATTTTATCAGATGATCCACAGCTCCATGTTTGTTCATGCTTCAGGGCACACAGCAGCTGGGCTTAGAGCTCGCTCGTTCTCCTGTGTTCCTGTACGAGGACCACAAGGGTCAGCCAACTCCAGAATTTTACCCCACCTTCAGAAAGATCAACCTGGCTGACGGCAAGTGGGTAACTACACACACAGACACATATAATGTTGTACTTGGGTTTGATTTATTCAGCCTTTTAAAATATCCATACTCATACTCAATATTAGGATGATTGAGATCACTTTTAAATTCACGGAGATAATAAAACCTTCATAACTCAACAGGTACTACAAAGTGGCTGATATGTCAAAAAGTGCTTTTCTTGTCCCTTTTTGTGTCCAGGTGGCACAGAGTTGCCTACAGTATTGAGGGCCAAACGGTGACTCTGTACTTGGACTGTGAGAAGGTGGACACCCTGGATCTGCTCAGAGGTCACGATCCACGGGTCAGCACCGACGGAGTCACAGTGTTCGGAACGCGTCTGCTGGATGAAGATGTGTTTGAGGTGAGTTCATGAAGGTGGTGTCGAATGTAACCAGAAAAGTAAGTGGAGGTAAAAAGAAAAGTGCATCAGTAAACTAAAATGTGTTGAAACAAAACAGTAAATTATTCACCTTGTCTAACTGGAGGGAAAAATTCAGTCTACATATTTTAAATAGAAATAGTAAATGGACTGTACTTATATAACGCCTTTCTATCTTATTAAGGTATTCAAAGCTCTTTAGACTACAATCTGTGCCCTCATTTACCCATTCATACAGCACTCTACTAGATCTATACAAAGAACAGTCAGTGCTTTGGAACACATTCATACACCGATGGGACACACGTTGGAGGTAATGAGGGGTTCAGTGTCTTGCTTCATCATGTGACTGCTGGTGGAATTGAACCACCAACTCTTGCATTGGAGGATGACTGCTTTAACCACTCAGCCACAGCTGCCCCAGACAAAATTATACTGCCATGAAATAATTTGTCTGTTGAAAGCGATGAGGACCAACCAGTCATCCATGGGTTGGGGTTGATCTTTATGGGTTTGAATATGGTTGATCAAGCCAATCTGTACTTTGAATGTTCTGTGGCAGTGTGGACAGAGAATGGGGGCTGATGATGGCAGTCTGTTTGTGCTGCTCTGCTGTAACTGTCCTGATTGCTTCACAGTTTTGTGCACCCCTGTGAATTACATTTCTCTCTGTCTTTGTTCTGTCTGATTCCAGGCATCAATGAGATGTCAGATGCCTTCATTGAGGCTTTTAGTGTGTCTTTAAACTGCTTTTTCTGGCCTCTTGGGGAGCACTTTCCTTGTTGTAGTTTGCATAGAAAAGTCTCTTAGGGAGCTGATGGTATGGCATGTGAGCTACTTGCCCTGCACAGTAAGGTTGTGTCTGGATCAGGATGGTGAAGATACTGGAAAGGCCAACACATCTCAGGACCTTAGTGTCTGGGATCTTGCCTTGCCTTTCAGTGCAAAGTAGTTTTCTGAGGGAGATGGTATGGAAGTGGTTCTGCTTCCTTGCATGGTGTTGGTAGATTGTCCACGATTCACAGCCATACATGAGGGTGGTGAGAACTATGGCCCATTAGGCCTTGACTTTTGTCTCTTGGGTGATACCTATTCTGGTCCATACTTTCTTCTGGGGTTTAAAGGTAGCATTTGTTTTAGTAAGTCTAGTATTTACTTTTCATAATCAATGACAGCATTCCTTAAAAGTATGCTACCAAGGGATGGGAAGTTTAGCTGGCCATTCTCAGCTATTGCCCAGGCCGCTGAATCAGCAAACAGCTGCAGGGAGCCACATGTGAGAGATGGGTATCAGGTGGAGACATAGGGTGAAGGAACCACCACAAGCATGTGACGTATCCCCCACCAAAGGTGACACCCCAATATTTCCTATAAGGAAGCAAAGCTTAGGGCTGCAGTAGCTAAGTGGTCAGTGCTGTGGTGTAATCCTGAGGCTGCAAGTTTGAGCCTGGCTGCGTCAGGAAGGACAACTGGAGCAAAACAATTTCCAAATATCTCATGTGAGTTTGCTTGCTGTGGCAGCCCCTGCAAAAGGGAGTAACTGAAAATACAAGGTTCAAGGTTTAAGGTTCTTTATTGTCATTCGCATCACATGTGGTACATGAGGTGGAACGAAACTGCATCCTAGTTACATCCAACAACAGCCAAAATATAAATTATAAAAGAAACAGTAATAAGGATTTAAGCTATAAACTAAGAAATATACTAAACACTAATAGTGCAAAACAATACACCGAACAGCAGCAGCATGAACATGAGTCTGTTTGAACAGATGAGTACCAATGAAACAGTAATTAGGCAAAAATTACCCAGTGAGAAAAAAGTATTTAACCTAAAATTAATGTGATGAACGTTACATATCTGATGAACTTCTGCTGGTCCAGACCTACTCATCAGGTTTTTGGGTGTACACAGAGGAACATGTTTATGTCAAGAACGGGTTTTTAGATTCTTAATATATAAGCCAAACACAGGAGTGCAAAAACAAGAACAGTTTTTTTTTATTAATTAGGCTGCTGGAGTCAAGATCAGTAGTGTTAACAGGTCCTCACAGGCTGTAGGGAGAGAGTCACCTGTCAACAATGACATCACTGCAGAGCAGCTACAGTACGTGGTTCGTGGAGGGGCAAATAAAAGAGCAGGGTCCAGATAACAAAGCAGGGGTCATACACGGGGAAACAGAGAGTAGAAACCAGAGCCAAATCATAATCCGTAATCGTAGTCGTGGAGGGAAAGCAGAATTGTTTACCGTGGTTTGATGTGAAGTCAAAAATCCAAAGAGGGACGGGCAAAGCGAAGAATCCAGGAAACAGGAGTGAGGTCAATAACTCAGAGAGCAATGAAGCATGAAACTGTGAAGGCTTGAAAATCAGGGACCATGGAAGGTTTAATAATCTTGCACTGGTGGAGAGTGAGAATGGAGCTTATAAAGGGTGCAGAGCAGGTGAACTAGATGAGCTGAAGCAGGTGAGTGGAATCAGGTGTGATTGCTGTGATAAACAAGGGAGGCGTGACACGGCTTGGAAGGAGTAGGCTTGAGCTGGAGATGGGTGATAGGCATTACAAATCAGGGGAAGAGGAACTATGGCATGAGGGCTGAAACAATAGCAGGAGGGAGTGAGTGTGAGACAGGGGCCAATGTGTGTGTGTGTGTGTGTGTGTGTGTGTGGGGGGGGGGGGGGGGGGGTCAGCGGGGCTGCTGACCATTACAGTTTATGTACATCCTGACCTAAGCTATAGTTCACATTCAATTTTTAAAGGTTCTGTAATAAGATTTATATATATATATATATATATATATATATATATATCTTTCCTGTTCGAGAGCATTTTGAATGATTTCATTTCCGAAAAATAATTTATTTCTGGCTGGACTGACAAACTAACGGCGAGTTCAATTGAGGAGAGGCCAAAAACAAAGTTCTGTTTTAATACAGAAATATATATTTTGGTCTTGGCCACACTTAGATTAGTCATTACCTCAACAAGCCGTCCAGAAATAAAACTATTCTTGCAAACTGGAGTCATTCAAAGAGCTATCTACAACAGGTAAGATATTAACTGTTCGTAAAGTTCCATTAAACCCCGATTCAAAGATCTGAACAATCTTTTAAAATGTGCTCAACTAGAAGAAAGCTTGTTCTGAATGTCAATCTGCTTCTCTGCCATTTTTCTGTTTTAATTCACTTTACAAACAAATATTTAGACATTTTATATTATTTATGTCTATTAAGGGTATTTATATTTTTCAGTTATAGACTTTACTGTTTATCAGTAAACAGGAGCAATCCTGGTCTAGCAGCTCTGATACTGGTGCAGATTGTTAGTCATCTAGTACATGGCAAATACAAAGTACAGCAAACAAACAAATAAATAAACATCTGGACTTCTTTTCATTAGAACATGTTTTGCTTCTCATCTGGGGACTTTTGGGTAATGTTACATCAAGGCTTTAAAATACTTTTGCTATCATACTTTTGGCTTTTTCCAGTTTGCTGCACATCAACATCTCAGTTTCTGAGGTCCTCAAAAGTCAAAAGTACTCTAAGTTTATGTCATAATTATTACACATATCTGCAAAATAAGTCTGAGGAATTTCCGAGTTTTCATACATTCACACTTTTTGATGTATGTGTTACTTTATCTACAAATTATTTGCCACATTAGAAGAATTTTCACATATAGCTGCCATAAACAGATAAACAATGAAAAAATCATGGACAAATTTAAAATTTATTTTTATACCCCATGTAAAAATCTAGCATTGTTTAGATTTTTTGGGGTTAAAATAGAATAAATATTATTACAAATATTTTTTCACTGTTCTAAGTTGTATTTAAAGTCTCTTGTTATTTGTCCTTTTTTTAATTTATCTGTTAAAATTGATGATTAAAAAAAAAAAATCTCTCTACACCGCCTCCTAGTGGTTGTCAGCATGAAATTCAGCTCCTTAAACCACCAGCAACTTTACATTCCTGACATCTGCAGTAATGTTTAATTATGAATATTTATTTTCCTAAAATCTGCAGTTGTCTAAACTCTTACAAGTTCCTTTTCTTGGATGTTATTTGTGGTTTGAGGTCATTTTGACAGACTTAGAGGGAAAGCTGTAACCGTTGTTATGTCAGGTGGATCATCTGTTTAACTAAATAACATCTAGCAGTATTTATGTTGGGCTCTCCGTGTATGTGCATGTGTGAGTGTGTGTGAAGGAGAAAGCGTAGGTTCTGGAGACGATTAACTGCAGAGCAGCAATAAAAGCAGCATGTTGAGTCACTTTGATCCGTCTAGATGAGCACATTAAAAGTTAGAGACATGCAAACAGTGCAGATGTGCCTTGTCGTTTTAATAAATTAATGCTGTACAGTTGTGATCGATGATGATACTGTATGTGTGATCCAATACAACATGTGCGTTCCTGATGACTTTCAGGCTTTGTGTGTTTTCATAACAGGGAGAAATCCAGCAGCTGCTGCTTGTCGACGACCCCAGAGCGGCAGAGTCCTACTGTCAGGACTACATCCCAGACTGTGACGCACCTTTACCCTACGACAGCATATTACCACCGACTGATGAGGTGAGTTCTCATCGAAAAACCAACAGAGAGAAGGCAGAAAGAGACAAACTTTGTCATTATGAAGCAGGGTTATTCAACTGGTGGCCTGTGGGCAAAATCAGGCCCACTGATGAACCCAGTTCGGCCCCAAAAAAATGGGTTCATATTTAATTAAAACTAGATTTTAAATCGTAAAACAAACTTACTTATTGACAATAACTGCTGGATGTCCGGCCCCTGAGCTCTTGGCTTTCAGTAATTGTGCCCCCCTGAGCAATTTAGCTGAATAGCCCGGTTATAATGTGTTTTTGACAACATTTATCTGATCTTATTTGGACTATTTCACACATTCATCAAAAATGCCTCTAGATTGCAAGCAAAATGCAGTCTTTTCTACAAATTCATATTTGCATATATATATATATATATATATATATATATATATATATATATATATAT